CCGCCTTCACGGCCTGGACAGGACCAGGCCGGCGTCCCCGCCCGAGCACGGGCGCCGCGTGGCCTCGGCAGGCAGGCGGCGGACTCGGAGCCCAGCCCCGGCCGGTAGGCAGCGGCGTCCCGCCGAGACCCGTGTCCCCGCCCTCTCCGCGCCCGAGGGCTGGCATTTCCCAAGTTTCAGCGGAAAGTTTTCAGGGCGCCGTCACTCTCGCTCTTTGTCTTCATTGGTCTTTGCAAGTCAGGTCGTTTGTTGGATTTGCTGAAGTCCCCTTGCAGCCGCCTAGCAGCGCTGGCCTCTTGGGGGGTCTTCGGTGCAGCTCCGGGGCTCTGTTGACCTTGAAGGTGATCGCTAACGTTTGTTGAATGAATGAGTGAACTGAGCGTCCCAGGCGTCCAGCGGTTGGTGCAGGAAATGATGAACTCTCCCCCAGGGAGAACACCTGGCTTAGATACGCCCCTGGAATCCTGGGCCTTGAACCTGGTGTGACCTCAGGCGCTTGGGGCTTTAAAAACAAAAATCATTTTGTTTTTCCTGCCGCGGTGAACTGAGGCAATCTCTCCCTCCCCGCACCTCGTCCCCCAATAGTTTGAGTCTCAAAGTATTTTGCCCAGTGGGTAGACTTTGTGTCCTGGTTTTGGAGTTGAAAAATGAAGTGACCACTTCCGAGAAGCGCTGCGGTGACCGCCAGATGTGTGGATAGAGATTAATGGGTTAAAAAAAAAAAGAGTTTTCAGTTCAGTAGAGGGCTGAGTGGAAGTGGAAGTGACCCGCTGGAAAGATGGATGTTGAGACATAAAAATTCCTTGTTCTTAAGTGATCTTTAAAAACATCGTTAGTGTGTGTTTGTGACGCGTATTACATACCTTCCCTGTGAGGAATTGGTACATACACATATGGCGTCTTGATGGGTTTTATTTCTCCTGCCCTCTCTTTTGTTTTATTCACCCCCAATTACCTTCCCATCTTCACAAAACCTGTCTTTCTGATTACTATAAGCGCTTATCTTGTTCTTTCAATTATTTATATTTTGGGTTTCTAATTAAGAGAAACCATGCAATGTGTAACCTCTGTGTCAGATTTATTTCACTTAGCGTTATGGTCTCAAAGTGCATCCGTTTTCTACAAATAAATCAAATTTACCTTTTGGGGTGGAGTAGTATTCCCTTGTGTATCTATTCTGCATTTTTCTTTAATCCATTCATCCATTGGTGGGCATAGAGGCTGCTTCTAAGAGTCAGCTGTGACAATCAGCCATTCTTTCTGGCTCAGGCTGAATATGCTGTCCTAGAGCTGGTGCTCACAGACATGACCTTAAGGCTGCCTGCATCCTGTCTCCAGTTCCATTCAGTGTTGTCTGGTTTGCACTTCTCTAGTGGCCAAAGATGCTGAACATTTTTCTGTATCTACTATATCAAGTTATGTTAACATGCAAAAACAACTCTAGTGTTGAGAATTAGCAAAATTGACCCAAGAGCTAGACTTCTGTTCCCTAGATTCAAGTGAGAAGCAGCAAAAACATCCCCAGAGTTACCTGCGATTTTAGTATAGTTGTGAGAGGCATTCCATGCCCCCCAAGGGATGCCCGAAGTCAGATAGCACCAAGCTATGCATACCTTGTACTGTTTTTTCCTAAAGTACATAACTTAAGGTAAAGTTTATAAGTTTGGTGTGGTAAGAGGTGACAATAAAATAGAACAGTACACCCCTCGTGATTTTTTTTTTTTTTTTTTTTTTTGGAACTGGGGATTGAACTCAGGCCCTTGCCCTTGCCAGGGAATCGCTTATTCTACTGAGCCATCTCCCTGGCCCTTCGTGATTATTTTGTACTCACCCTCCTTGTGCTGAGACAAAGTGATGTGAATGGGGTAGGCACTGTGGGCATTGTGGTGAAGGGTTAGGCCACTGAGCAGGGGTCGCCTGAAGACAGGCACTGCAGTACTGTGACCATCAATTTCACAACTGAGGTGATAGGTGGCTGCTAAGTGACAGGTGGTGGGTAGTGTATGTAGTGTGGATACGCTGGACAGGGGAATGGTGGGTGTCCCAGAAGGGGAGGGGGGACAGCATGAAATGCCATCATGCCACTTGGCTTAACACTTGCAAATTGTTATTTCTGGATTTTCCATATATTATTCCTATGACCCCCGTTGGCCCTAGGTAACTATGTTAAAACCGTGGCAAGTAAGGTCATGAATAAGGGAGGACGATTGCATTTTGATACATCATGGATTAGGTGGCGCTGAATCATGAAATCCTGGTGTGGAAAGCCCTATTCTAGACCATCTTAACCTTTCTACACTGTTTCTGACTTGGGCTCATCTAGTTTAAGATTAGGCGACTCAAGAGTTCTTGGAACTCATGCTGTGCTGGGTTGATTCACCCCACCCCGCCTTTGCCAGCTCTGGGTAAAGTCTACATTTAGCCAAAAGGTGCTGTCTCTGTAACCACTACTGTCTGTAGAGCTGCAAGGGAGGGTGGCCAGGGCCATTTGCCCTTTTTTCTTTCTCTTGCTACGGGGTATTGGACTCAGGACCTTGCACTTGGCAGGCAGGTGCTTATGCTGCTGAGGGATCTCCCCAGCCCAGTCTATCTCATCTGATCTCGGAAGCTAAGCCGGGGTGGGCCTGGCTAACACTTGGGTGGGAGCCCTTTTCAACTAGACTGTACTGCAGCCTGGAGGTTTCCCCTGACCACGCTGAATATGCTGTCCTAGAGCTGATGCTCACAGACATGACCTTAAGGCTGCCTGCATCCTGTCTCCAGTTCCATTCAGGGTCCTTGGTGGAAACAGAAGGCCAATTTCATTGGGAGTTTAAAAGGAGTTAGTGATAGAGCTGTGGACAAAGTTAAGGGAACCAAGAAAGGGTGCTGAGGGTACCTATAAGCTGGTGGCAGGAGGAAGAGGATTTACACCTGGACTTGAAGGAAGAAGGGAAACAAACTGAAGCCCTGGGGAAGCTGAGGCTGGGGAAAAGGGACAGGAAGCATCATTGTCAGAAATGTGCAGCTGGAGAGGGTGAAGACTGCACAAGAAAGGCCTGTTCACCTGTTGCTTCACTTCTCTTCCCGTCGGCTGACTGGGAAGTCACCCGGGAGCAGGAAGGTGGGGAAGGTGGTCTGTAGGGACCAGCTCCTTTCCACCTGTCCTGGCCTAGACCAGAGCAAGAGGGAAGTGGGGGGACATGGACAGTACCCAGCAGATTTACCCACTCTGCCCAGAAGCCAACATAGGGCAGTAGTAATGGAAGCCACCCAGCCCAGATCAGAGCTGGGCTATCTCCTCCCTTATTCTAGCTTGGGCATGTTGCTTTGTTAATTCAACTAAAGGGTACTTTCCCCTTCTTCTCCAGCTGAATCCTAGAAGCCCTCATTGTTATGAGCTCACTTAAAGGCGCTTTGACTTTGGTTGCTGCTAAGTGAGCCCCTCTCTAGCTTGCATCTATTCAACTGGGTTTTTGAAACCAAATGTAAGATCTTATTTTTATCCCTCTTAACTGGGCAGTGCTGAGTCTGTCATTCTCTTTGGGAATTCCAGGGGCCAGAAATGGGCAAATGGGAACGACCAGGACCTCTAAAGGGGCTGGTTACCACCCAGCTCCGGCTGCTTGCTGTCCCTGCATGGTAGTTCTGCAAGCCACTCAAAGAAGGCAGCAGATTTGGGGTGAAATGACTGTGCCTGGGGAGCGAGTGCTGGCCTCAGTGACCAGGCTGCCCTTGTCCAGGGATCCCTGACCATTGCTTTTGTAGCAGTAGGACCAGGTCCTGCTGTGTCCTGCCTCAGCTCTCAGCTATGTGCTTCGCAGAATCTGCTTTCTGCTTCCCTCTTAGTCTTCCTGCTTTCTCAAGATCAATGACCTTGGCCTGCCCATGAGTTGTCCCAGTGCTGTGGCACTGAATTCTTAACTCCAGTTCATTCGTGTGACACCTGGCATGACTTTGCTACAGGACACAAAGATTGGAAAGACACAGATCATGTGGGAATATGAAAGTCAGGAATTTAATGTAGAGTAGGCGAGATGGTTCAGCGGACTAAGCGCCTGCTTTGGCAAGTACAGGGGCCAGAGTCAATTCCCATTCCCACATGCCTGTGTTGGCCCCGCATCACACTGGGCGGTGAACCAGTCCGGGCATGGTGGGGCAGGCCTGTAATCCCAGCGCTGGGGAGGCTGAAAACGAGGATCACTACGAGTCTGGGCTGTGTAGTGAGACACTGTACCAAATACATAAAATGAATAATAATAATAATTTAATGTAAAATTATGTCCTCCCAGGAATGCTACATGCATCATGGCATAACTGTGTCCTATCAGATTACATTAAACAAGTCCTCACTCTTGTGTTTATGTAAGAAAAAAATAGTGTTACAGAGGCAAGAGAAAACAGGAGCTTAAAAAGCATAGTATTGAGGATCAGACACACTTGGCTTTGATTTCTGTTCTACCTTCTTTCTTATTGCTATGATTTAGAACCAAGTTCCTCAAACCTGTAAGCCTTTTTTTTTTTTTTTTTTTGGCAGAACCAGAGATTGAACTCAGGCCCTTGCGTTTGCCAGGCAAGTGCTTATTCTATTAAGCTATCTCCCTGGCTCCCATCTAAGCCTCTTTAACCTACAAAATGAGAATAAACATTGTCTTTCCATGCAAAGTATGAGGTTTACATTTCATGGCATGAGTACTGGTAGTCGCTGAAATGGACAACTCGGTTTTAGAGTTTTCAAAATTTGAAAGAGGCTGTATTATGGAATACAGAAGATTCTGTGCATTCTTTAAACAGTTAAGTAGCCCGTGACTGTG